CCCCTCTAAATGAATAACCATATGTTCTTAGATGTGGCATTTCTCTTTCTATTTAGGCTTTAGAGGACTAAGTTACTGATACACTTGGGTTTCTTCTGTCTTTTGATTGCAAATTTGTGGTTTGGTGTTGCATTGTCTTACTTGCAGGAAGTCTATCTGGAAGCTGAAGAAAATGGCTGTGATACTTGTGACATGGAATGGAATTGTCAGGGCTGTTTATTATGCAGAGTGGGGTGCCAGCATCTAAGTTGGCCTTCAGCATATAGTGTCTTTTAACTGTCATGTTTCCCTATTATGCAACTTGAGCGGATTTTATTTTTCCATGTTGATAAGGATGTTTATCCCCCACTTAAGCCAGGTGAAAGTTGAAGCCACACTATGCATTGTGCTGCCTGTCTATACCCATAACATACCTCCTTGCTAAAATAATTGATTTTCAGAAATTTGCCTGTAAGAGTCACAGCTTTATTTTGTGCATGTTAGTATATTAACCAGAAAATCCATTCACAGCTGGAAACTTCAGCTGAACTTCCTCTAGCTTATTGCATCTGCCTCCAACTGGAAATGTTGATTAGAAGCAGCCTATATTTTTAACATACATCTACCTACTTCATACTGCTAAGAGAAAAGGGCCCAAGAGGAGGGGGCATAGATATCACTTTGCATTCTGTGGTTTTACTCTAATCAACTTGTTTGCCATCCAGTACAGTAGTTATGATGGTTGGCAGGCTAACCTTGTTTATATATTTGGCCTCAGAATTTATCAGGATAACATTTACTACTAGGAGCTTTATTCCCTAACCTCTAGATGAGAAAGATTGCAGAGGAATTCTTTCTTTCAACAAAATCTTAGAGTGCCTAATGCCAGGCCCTCTGCTAGGCTTTGGGAATATGAAGATGACTAAGACTTTGTTCCTGCATTTAAAGATCTCAAAATCTAGTTTGAAAGAGAGCTAAATAAACCATTGATTGATTGATTGATTGCCAGAAACTTGCTCTGTTGCCCAGGCTAGAGTGTAATGGTATGATCACAGCTCACTGCAGCCTCAATCTTCCTGGCCTAAGCAATCCTCCCAAGTCAGACTCCCACCCCTATTGGTGAGTAGCTGGGACAATAGGTGCATGTCACCATGCCTGGCTAATTTTTTTATTTTTTGTAGAGATGAGGTCTCACTTTGTTGCCCAGGCTGGTTTTGAACTCCTGGGGTCAAGCAATCCTCCTGATTTGACTTCCCAGAGTGCTGAGAATACAGGCATGAGCCACCACATCTAGCCAACAATTTAAATTTTATATTTAAGTGTAATATAATAATTATTATCATGACAAATTATCATAGAGAAGCATTGCATGCCAACTATATGTGAGGAAGTATTTTAAACATTTATATATATTATCTGCTTCTCACAACAGTCCTAATAAGTGGTTAATATATTATTTTTATTTCTCATTTGAATGAAAAAACTAAGTTGCAGAGAGATTATACACTCATGAGGTCACACAGCTAAAAAGTGGTAGAGCCAACATTCCGACTCAAGTTGTCTAACTCCAGACTGCAAGTTCTTAACTACTACAATATAATGATTCTCTGAAAAGCATGTTGGAAATAGCATAGGCTCCACCTAACTCAGAATAAAGAATCAGAAAAGATAGCATTTCTTCTGGACCTTGACAAATGGATAGGTTTAGGCTTCTTCAGATAGAAAAAATAGGAAAGCTGTAAGCAAAAAAACCATTAAGTATAAAGGTTCAAGCGGTGAAAACACATGTCCTGCGAGGGGAATGGTGAATAACTGCATGACTGGCCTGGGACAGGAGACAAGACTAGAAGGTGGGTTGAGTCCAGCCTGTAAAGGCATGTTGAGACACCAAAAGTTGTTACCGTTTTCTATTACACTTTACCTCTTGACTACAGCATTACTCCCTTATAGAAGAAATGAACAGACTTCTGAATCTTACAGGTTTCTTCCTCTAATCACATCTCACGAATTTTTATGGGTAAATTTCTTTCTTTACATTTTTGTTTCCCTGTCAAAGTCTCACATCTTCTTATACTTAAAGGACAAATATGCTTTGAAGCATTTAAAGTATTCCCCTTTTGGGGTTTGCTCTTTTAGATGGAAAACTAAGCAACTGAGGTAAAGTAGTTGTAAAAGGGAGTTATCTATTTGATTTGTGTCTATTTTGATAACTCCTGCCTTCCTCTAATTTATTCTTTTCTTTTTCGACAACAGCACGTTTATTACATAAAAGACATGCTGATATTCTATTCTGTTTCATCATTATGATCACTAATGTTGTTTGTGACCCACTAAAATGATTTCCCAGCCCATCAATGGGTTACAATCCATGGTTTGAAAAGCCCGGCAGTACATTTTATGCTAATCTGCCATGGATACAGGGTTACCACTGTCCGTGGTACCTTGGTGTGAACTAGAAAAAAGTGCCCTTTCCTAAAGATGCTTAATTCCATCTGCCAAAAAATTGTCATAATGTGCTGACTTTGTAAAAGTAAGACACTACTGTCATACGCCAGAGAATGGTTAAAAATAAATAAGTAAAACTTGATGTCAACATTATGAATGGTGTCCCTATTAAATAATGATGTTGTAAGCACTGACACAAAACTAGATGACAAAATAGGTTGGAGGTGCTTGTTCAATGGATAAATTATCTCAGAGTAGCTGTATACCAGGGATTTGTGGCAGCTGTTTTGCCTTCTTAGGTCCTTTCTACTCATTTCCCTATTAGAGTAGCCAGATAAAATACAGAACATCCATTTTAACTGGAATTTCAAATAAACAACAAAAAAATTTAATATAAATATGTGCTACACAATATTTGGAATATACTCATGCTAAAAATATTCATTATGTATTTCAAAATTGCTAAATGACTACATCTTAAATGTTCTTACAAAAAATAAGTATGTGAAGTCATGGATATATTAATTAGCTTAACATAATTGTTCCACAATATTTACACATATCAAAATATCACATTGTATATATCTGTAAATATATACAATTATTATTTGTCAATAACATTTAAAATTAAGAAATAGTTAAAAAAACACTGGCTGTTATCGGAAATTTAAACTTAACTGGGCACCCTGTATTTTTATTTTTTTAAATTTCTTCTTCAATATTTATTTTAAGTTCAAGGCACATGTGCAGAATGTGCAGGTTTGTTACATAAGTAAACGTGTGCCATGCTGGTTTGCTGCACAGATCATCCCATCCCTTATTAAGCCCAGCATCCATTAGCTATTCTTCTTCATGCTCTTCTTCCTCCCACCCCCAACCCTCTGACAGGCACCAGTGTGTGTTGTTCCCCACATGGGTCCATGTGTTCTCATCGTTCAGCTCCCACTTGTAAGTTCCTATGTTAGTTTGCTGAGGATAATGGCTTCTAACTTCATCCATGTCCATGAAAAGGACATGATTTCATTCCTTTCTATGGCTGCATAGTATTCCATGGTGTATGTATACCATATTTTGTTTATCCAGTCTATTATTGATGGGCATTTGGGTTGATTCCATGTCTTTGCTATTACAAATATTGCTGCAGTGAATATATGCATGCATGTATCTTTTTATAATGGAATGATTTATATTCCTGTGGGTGTATACCCAGTAATGGGATTCCTGGGTCAAATGGTATGGTATTTCTGGTTCTAGGTCTTTGAGGAATCGCCGCACTGTCTTCCACAATGGTTGAAGTAATTTACACTCCCACCAACCAGTTTTTCTCTGCAACCTCGATGCAATCTGTTATTCTGACTGGCATGAGATGGTATCTCATTGTGGTTCTCATTTGTTTCTAATGCTCAGTGATGTTGAGCATTTTCATGTTTGTTGGCTACATGTATATCTTCTTTGGATAAGTGTGTGTTCATGCCTACTTTTTAATGGGTCTGTTTGTTTTTTTCTTGTAAATGTAAACTCCATGTAGACTGTAAAAATTAGACTTTTGTCAGATGGATGGATTGGAAAAATTTTCTCCTACCTTTCTCTAATTTGAAGTCAAATTTGGAAAACACAGCAAGTCCTCACTTAACATCATTCATAGGTTCTTGGAAACATCAGCGTTAAGTGAAATGATGTATAATGAAACCAACTACCATAGACTAGTTGATATAAGCAAGAAAGATTAATAAAACAAGATAATTATTTATTCAGTTATTCCAGTTCAGAGTCATGTGTGGCTGGAACAGTTCAGGGCACAAGGTGGGAACCTCCCCTGGCCAGGTTTCGTTGCCGGGCACTCACACCCACACTCACACCCACACTCACTCAGACTATGACAATTTAGACACACCAGTTTACCTAAGGTGCACATCTTTGAGATGTGGGAGGAAACCAGAGTACAGTACTTGGAGGAAACCCACATAGACATGAAAGAAAGTGCAAACACCACACACAGTAGCCAGGGCTGGGAATTCCCCCCCACCTTTTTTTTTCCTAATCAACATTATAAAAAAAACAATGCTAAATGAAATTACTCTATTCAAGGACCTGCTGTAGTTTAGTTCCTTCTAAATTAATGGAGAAAAGCAATATTAAAGTATCGTCTTCCAAATAGATTTAAGGACATAGAGGTTTTACTTAAAAGGTAATCAAACAATTAAGTTGATGTGAAGGAATGCCACATTGGTCACTGAGTTAGATCCAATGCTGAGGAGTCTAGCTGCAGCCTAATTCTCTTCTTCCTTATTTGTCTTCATAGCTATTTTGGTCTAGCACTAAGCAGAATGGATTTTAGGAGGTCATACAACTTTAGTCTGTGTTTTAAGAATAACTAAATTTGATGTCCTTGGTTATGCCCCTCCTCCCCAACCTGTGGACAGCCACAGCAAAATTGTTGGTGGTGGTATCTTTTTCATTTTAGGAGAAACCTGCTTGTCTTAAGTATCTTGTCACATTTATTCCCAGTGAGAGGCAGGCAAGAGGTCAGTAATTCCATTTTCCCAACAACTTTCATGGCTTCTTCCCTTTTTTTCTTTCTTTGTAGCTCTATGTCACTGAACTGCAGTCACCTCTTTATCCAGAAACTGAAACAGTAGGCATCTGTAACTCATGCTGACAGCACATACTCACCGAGTTTTTTGTTTGTTTTTTTTTCTTTTCAAGATGATGTGAAGTTTAGAGTCAATGAGTGCAGATTTTCTTAAAATTAGAACCGTAGGGAGGTGGCTTCAAAACTTTAAGAAAGGTAGCCAAAGACTGAGTTAAAACTGGGGTACCGGGCGCGGTGGCTCACGCCTGTAATCCCAGCACTTTGGGAGGCCGAGGCGGGTGGATCATGAGGTCAAGAGATCAAGACCATCCTGGTCAACATGGTGAAACCCCATCTCTACTAAAACTACAAAAAATTAGCTGGGCATGGTGGTGCGTGCCTGTAGTCCCAGCTACTCAGGAGGCTGAGGCAGGAGAATTGCCCGAACCCAGGAGGTGGAGGTTGCGGTGAGCTGAGATTGTGCCATTGCACTCCAGCCTGGGTAACAAGAGCAAAACTCCGTCTCAAAAAAAAAAAAAAAAAAAAAAAAACACCTGGGGTACCCTAAATAGTGAGATTTTACCATGAGGCAAATTCATGTGCCTATACTTGTTTAGACCCAGGACCTAAACGTGAGTAGTTGCAAGTTCATAAAATAAATGATTTCTCGTCTATAAGCTGGGGTTTCAGTGAAGAAAAACATTTTCTTATATAAGTGCCTTACTGCTTCTTAGCACCACTACCAGTTGTTCCTTGTAGGTTTGCAGTGTGGTTGTAAAATGAAAACGTATTTTGTTTTCTTGGTGAGTACATGTCTTACCCTCTGTTTTCATCATTTCTATTTAGAGGGAAGTGAGATTGAGTATGAGAAAAACAGTGCAGAGAGGGAGGAGCTGACAGAGTTGCAGCAAAAGCAGGGAGAGAGGCATTTCTCAGCTGCCCCTGGCTGCTAGATATGTCTTGGTCTAGATTCTGTGGGACAGCTGCTATCTTTTCCCACCTGTACAGGTATTATTATCTCTCATACAAGGACTAGTTAAAACTGACTAAGCTGCCAACTTTTCCCTAACTTTCAGGATTGTCCAGGGTTAACAGTTAACCAGCAGTAATACCTGACTATGTATTGAGCATTAACTATGAGCTAGATCTACATATATAATTTCAAAGTTTTAAAACAACTCTGTGATGACAGTTATTCTAACCCCATTTTTGTTTGTGTATATTAAGACATTGATACTACAAGAAATTAAGTGACAAAGCTATCATCACACAGTTAGAAAGTGACTCAACCAGGATTAAGAACCCAGATCTATCAGGATTAAAATTCTATGCTTCCAACAATTATGCTACACTGCCTTTGCCAGAAGATGGAAGATTCCTATCTTCCAACCTTTTGGCCAGGAATAAGTGAAACTGATGGATGTAATTCTGACAAGCCAACAGGGATTTGGTACTTTTATGAGAAAATTTTTTCATTATCTTTGTTGAATGTCAATAAGAAGTTTGTCTGAGAAGAAAGTTTAGGTGGGGGCTGCCAGGAAAGTGTCTAAGGTGGAATGAACTTCTCTCCCCAGACAGGTAAACATTACTTTACTCACTGGCTTTTATGGAGCCAGCAACTGCCATTGCTTCTTCTGAAAGAGCCACTGTTCACCAAGTGGCAGGTGCAGGGCAACTGTTACCATGGCAACGGCAGGAGAGGCAAGCAGTTTAATTCTAGAACTGATAATTAACTGAGGGGTATGGTGTGGGGTGGGGAGAAAATAGGGGGATAATTGTTGCAGGAGGGAAAACTTAGCAATTACTGGCAAGCAGCATAGATGAAAAGGCCAGGCACAGATGCTCCAGCCCAGCATGCCCCTAGCTTTTGGCACTCATCCCCTCGGGTTAGGAATTTTTGATACACTAAAATGAAGGGTTGAATCCCTAACCAACCAAGTCTCTTTAAGGAATCACCTGAGGAAAGAAGATTGTCACATAGGCTGTGAAAAGAAATACAAGGGGCCATATGAATGACTACCCTAAATTATACCACTCACCCAGAAGCAACCCAGAAATGCTATCTAAACTCTGCAGGAAGGATTCATATTGGTGATAAAATAGGACCCATAAAGCATACTTGTTGTGGGTGTCTACTTCTTTGGATTGAATGGGGGAAATTGGCTTGCTAGAAAATAAAAAGAAGACTCCAGGAGGTGATGAACGTATTTAGGTACTTAATCATCATAGCTATTAGTCCATCAACCTTTCAGAGACTGTATTAATGAAAATAGCTAGCATTCACATGGATGATTATCTATCTAATTTAATCTTCAAAACAATTTGGGAAGAAGATGCTATTAATATTCTCATAACAGACTCAGCCATGTTCAGTACTTTGACCAAGGTCATAGAGCTAGCAGGTTAATGTACTGAATCTTATCCTATTGAGTTGTATTTTAAAATAGAAAATATAGAGAAATCATGGCCCCAGTCTAGAATAAAACAGACTTAAGCAGATATAAACAATTTATAATAAAAAGGAAAATATTTTCTAGTAAAATAAGGTTAGCTGCAAAATAAAATATCCTGAATGAGCAATATTGGAGAATATCCTTTTCTTTTGAGATCTGTCAGGCCCATAGCTCAAGATTAGCTCTAGGTCCCAAGCCCTGATCAGGTGAATAATGTGAGTCATGATTCTTTCCTGACTTGGTTCTGTGGCTCAGGTGGGTTAAAGCTCAGAAGAAGAGGTAACTTGTTGAATGAGGCTGTCCAGAGCTCATCTAATGATCTGTTAGAACCTAACTTCCATGATGTATGTATTTCTCATGTGAAAAAGCCATAATGTACAGCAAGACTTCCTTGTATTCCTCAGTGTGTGTATGTGTATGTTAGAGGGTGAGGGAGAGAGAGAGACAGAAACAGAGATTTTACTTTGAAACAGTGAGTCTCAGTGGGAGCAGAAACATGGCATTCATTCAGCAGAGTTTATAGAGCACCTGCTTCATTCTAGCATTGTCTTTGGTGCTAGGGATACAACTTTAGAGAAAACATTCAAAGTCTTGGCCTTCGAAGAACATATGCTCTAGAATCTTAAGAAAAGGTAGAGGAAGACAATTGATGTGTAATTTAAAAACACATTTTAAGGAGACCCGTTAGTCCTTCTTTCAAAATCTATTATAGAAAATAAAACTTAGTCCTTCTGGCTTGTAGGAAAATAAAATATACAAAAGATAGAATAAGAGAGCAGTAAAGGCCAGGCACTATGGCTCACTCATGTAATCCCAGCACTTTGGGAGGCCTAGATGGGTGAATTGTTTGAGGCCAGGAGTTCCAGACCAGGCTGGCCAACATAACAAAACCCTGTCTCTACTAAAAATACAAAAATTAGTGAGGCATGTTGGCACACTAATTCCAGCTACTCAGGAGGCTGAGGCACCATAATTGCTTGAACCCAGGAGGTGGATGTTGCAGTGAGCAAGATTGCACCACTGCACTCTAGCCTGGGTGGCAGAACAAGACTCTGTCTCAAAACAAACAAATAAAGATAGTAGAGGTTGATAATCACTATTTAAAACTATGAGCTTACCCTTGATTTTCCAAAGGTTTGACAAATTAATAAGTTGATACTGCCTTTGCAAGGGAAAAAATTAATACCAAAATTTGGGAGCTTGACTGACACAGTAATTATGCTGGAAAATGTAATTTTGCTTCCATAATAGAGATGGGATTATTTCAAGAAGATCTCATTAATGTGCTGTTCATCAACAAAAAACAGTGTAACCTTGCTTTATTAGATTTATGCAGGGTTGTGATGCAAAGGCTGTTGGAATATTTCTCAGTTCTTTGTTCTAAGAAAATAAGTTAAGTACTGTCTTAAAGTCTAGATATGGAAATTAAAATAATTGAAAACAGAAAAACAGTGTGACCACTCATTCCAAAATCTCCATGAGCCTTCTGTCATTTCTATAAAATTCATTCCTTTATCCATTTATGAAACAAATTTTGTCAAGTGTCTACTATGTGCTAGGTAGTGCTAGATGTTGGAGATATAGTAGAAAGCAAAACCAAATGCAGTCCGTGCTTTCATGGTACTTACTACATGGTGAATGGTCTCTCCTCCACATTTCAGGGGCATATATTCTATGTCTGCTCAACTCACATTAAAGAATCAGCAGCCTACTAAAAGATGCATATCACTCGGAACTGTAAATGGAAATCTGCCAATGCAGGGCTTTCTAGATATATTAGACTAAACACTATTTTAGTTGTCAGTTTGCCCTTCAAAACTAGGGTTCCATGGTCCACTAACTTTGGCAAAGCCTACCCTCTTGGAGTTCCACAAGTATGATGACTTTGAGCAGCCTTGTGATAATGAAATACGTTTACTTTGTTTAACCTGACATTCCCAAATGTATTGACCATAAGACTCTTTTAACCCCTATCACATAAATATTCTTTATAAACTGTGTTCCTCAAGATATACTATGATGAATACTGCTTTTTCTCCACTAGATGTGGGACTTATTGCTAATGACTGACATGCAGAAAGACGGTATAAAAAATGTAGAGTTATTTCCTTAGTTGAAATCATCTCGTCACCATACTTTGGGACTTCTAGAATATTTCCCTGTATTAATGTAATTTATCTGTACCACAATTAAAAGTATACCTATTAGGGATATAGAAAATGAAGCTAATACACATTCCTGGGAAATAGAGCTGCTCAGATATTTTTAAAAATTGCCATAAAAAACTTGGATGTACATAATTCCATTTAAAAAAATCACCATAAATAAGTTTTGTGTTCTTTTCATCTTAATAATGTGATTTTTCCCCTATTTTTAATAACAAAGCAGTGGTACCACTATATAACAAGCACCCAGCACGTTGTCTAGCACAGAGTAGACACTCAAATCTTGGTTAAATGAATGAATGAATCAGATGGTGGCAAGGATCATTACTAAATATAAAGCAATGCAGAACAATCACATTTTTCCAGTTTTAAGTCATTGCATAAAGTGAGCCAATCCTTTTATGTCTTGATAGTGCCTCACATCTAAAAGCTAATACATGTTTACCACATGTTGGAGGAAACCAAGAAAATATTTTGCAAACCTTAAGTACTGCATCTAAGGAATAGTAATTTTCTTGTCATCAATGATCATGGAATTGCTTTAACATTCTATATGTGAGAAATTTCTCTAATATGGCCAGGACTTGATGCCAAATGAATTACACAGTAGGATCACAGTATCCTGAGTAAAGGCCAAGAGAGAAAGGCAGAGAGACCAGGATATTAGGCCTTCGTTAGAACCTCATTGTCTCAATTTTTTCATCAGCCATATAGGAGCAATAGTACCTACTCTGTATTAAGAATCAAGTAGTGATAGTATATAAGAAATACAAGTAAGAAGTGTAACTTGTGTCTTTCAAAAGTGTAAAGTGCTAAACAAGTGAAATAAGATTGGATGAAGTAAAGGTAAGTTTTTTATAATGGTATCTGTTAAGACATAATTGTATTTACAGTCTGAGGCTTAAATATGAATCATTTAAACATTTACCAGAAATAACAAAGGAGACAAGAAAATTGAACTTGATTCAGAAGCTTTACAATTTACAGGATGTACAGAGAATCTCATTTACTTATTTGTCAATCCTGAGAGGTGGTTTTGCTATTTCCATATTACATAGATGAGGAAATTGAATGAGTGTAAGTGACTTGTCCAAGTTTGCCCAGCTAGAACT